TCCACAAGGAGGGACAGAGCTACCTGCTCCAGACACACTAAAAAGTCTCGAATTTGAGCCCTCCATCAGCTCAGTATTGTAACACAGCGGCTTCAGTGAGACAAATGTACCAGTAGCGGGGGTGGGTGGGGCCGGTGGCTGGGGTCAGAGTGGGTGGTCATGCCTCCTGAAGCACTAATGACTTGGACACATTTAGGCCGGCTCCTGAATGGACACGCTCATTGTTTGACGGCTGTTTATTTGTTGTCCTCTGCGGTCCGGCCTGACCTTTCTCCGTCTACTAAGATGTTTACAGGCGGTGTCGGAGTTGCCCTGGGATTTCATGCTTCATTTGGAAATGCGTGAATGTTGGTATGACAGACACAGCCCTCTCCGTGGCCCCTGATGGCGCTGACTCCACCAGCTTCTCTTCACCAAATACTCACTTACATCACACTGATGACTGCTACTATTATCAGCAGCACTTAAACGGCATCCTTGTATGCATTATACACTGTGTATGAATATCCAGCCTTATATGTTTTTATATATATATATATATATATATATATATATATATATATCATCCCCAGACTAAGTCATGTCTGCCGTGTTCTTTCCTGTGTTGTGGATAATCATTTATGAAAGCTATCTGTGTGTAATCTCTTAAGGTTCCTCGTTTGCATTACCTGCTGTCTTGTCAACAGCGTATTAAGATTAAATGTTTGATATGTCTCACCATGAAATCTTTGCATGCGACTGTCTGCCTGTTAAAGTATGTTGAACTGTAAGCACAGAAAATCCCACTTTTGTCTAGACATTGTTTGTTACCCCATAAAACTCCTTACGTTTACTTTTGGATCATACTGTACTGAACGTGGAATCAAGCGAAACCACACTACAGCTGTGTGCAAAATGACTTTCTACTAGAAATGCATTTATTTGAGGCATATGTCACTTTTATTTCACCATCTAAAAAACATTTGATTATGGTTAAAAGGATGCTTTGCAGAATAAGAAACCTCACGTACTTGTCTGATAACATAAGCAAAAACAAGGTCAGCAATGACAGCGAGCACCTGGGCTGTGTGGGGAGGGGAAGTCCTACGACTGAAGTGGTTCTTTTAAGACTCTGTGCAGTCATCCACCACCCTTATTCTGTGACAATCGGCATGATTGCTCCAAACAATGGCATTTCCTCTACAATCACTCTGTCCTAGACTGTCATGGCATAGTTATCTAGATGTGCATCAGAGGTAACATAAGAGAGCTGCTGACCTTTCAGCCTGGAAAGGCATTTGTCCTCCCCGGTGCAGTGGCGACGATGTTTTCTTTGAGCCACCAAACGTTTTTGTGCCATCAACCTTCTGTTATTTTCCTGCTGTTTCATTGTCTGAGATGGTGACTGCGAGGACTTGTCGCAGCAGCAGATTTGTCAGCATTCTGTCTTCTTATCTGCTCAGCATCAGAGTTGTTTTATACTGTATCCCTACGCCTGGCTGTTGCACAAGAATCATCTTTGTAAAGTGTGCGACATAACCAATATGTCATCAGAGGAAACAGGTCAGTTTAAAGTTTGTACAAAAAGTAAATAATAAAGAAACAATGACTCTGAATTTAGTAACTGCGAACCTTTTTTTTCTTCTCCAAATTCAGTGAGGGGAAAATTAAAGTAACTTATCTTTGGCCTGTGTGAGATAGTTTTGTAAATGCAATTCTAGTGTTTTCCACTAGAGGGAGCTTTAAAGCCAATCTCACACCTACTTTAAAAGAGAGGGATTATGTACCATGGACTGTTATTTCGTCTACAACCAGCTCAGCTACAAAAATCAACAGTTTCTTAGTTTTGTTTAGGCGAGTTGTTGCAATGTGAATGAGCTCCTGCACAATCATATACAACAGTTCATCATTTCATCATCACATTTGAAGTCTCTGACCTAGTCAGGGACGCGTCTTTCTTTCTAACCACAGCATGACTTAAACCCTTTGTGGATTTTGGAAACCATAATGTCTCTTCAAGCGATGGTCAGACTCACGTCATTCTCTATTTAAACTGCCCCTCATCACAAGCAGTGTAATCAAGCACATTTTATGTGGACGAGGAGAAAAGAAAAACTCCCTCTCCAACAAAGCAGAGCTACTGCGCATGAGCTCACAGTTTTCCTCCCTGAAAAGACACAGATTTGACTATTCATTAGTGAGATGTTGCTGAATGCCATTTAAAAAAAAAAAAATCTTTATCTGTCATGAGTGACAGAGGACCTTTTCATTACTTCAGTTGAAAGACAGTTACTGTGTCATGAGATCACCGGGTTACGTCATTTTAAGGCTTTTCTTTATGCCTCTAAATTAAAATTAAAATAGTTCACACCAAAGGTTATGGCTACACGTGATCTATAATGTATTTATTTACTGGTGTTATTAAGAAGAATA